GACCCCCCCCACGGGGCCGCCGCCCCCCCACACGGCGTTGTCCCCTGCCACAGCTGCGGGTGAACCTGGGCAGCAATGGGAGCTCAGCTGTGGGTAGTCAAACACTTCTCCACCATGCACTCATCTCTCTCCCTCACTTCACATCTTTTCTTCTGGCCTCTTTGGATAGTCCCTCAAAGTTATCCCTAGCTTTCTTGAAGTCGCAGCTCTTACCTGCCTGTCCCACAACTGCCTCCCTCCCTCCCCAACCGATCTTTCCCTCCTCTGAGCTTAAGAGGGTTTTATCATTATAGCTAACATCTTAACATCCGTTTTCCAACTTCCTAGGGTAAGCGGGGCTGCAGGCTCTGTGCCTTGTACACATCAGACCTTCCTCGCTTTCAGCTGCCACCCACAAGATCACACTGTCCCTCAGTGTTTGGCAGGCCCCAGCTGGTCAACAAAGAAAGGATTGAAAGACACCCCAGCAAAAAGGACATGGACCAGAGGCCCGAGCCTGAGGTCAATGGCTTAGCTCCCTGGCAGTCCACTGCAAAGGACAGCAAGCAGCTAGAGCAGCCTCAGCACAGTGTCAGATGACCGGTCCCAACCAGTGCATATGGTGGGCTGGAGCAGGGCAGGTCCAGGTCCAGGTCCAGGTCCCGGTCCAGGTCCAGGTCCCATGTGCTCACTGCCAGCCCTGCATGGGCAGAGCAGATCTGACTCTTTCATGCCTCTCAAAGGTACGCTAACGCCTGCTCCCAGTCTGCGGACACAGTGAAGGGGATGAGGAAGCGATGGCTTTGACGTTTAATATGACCAAAGCTTTGTAGTTCCAAAGTTTGTTGGCAGATTAGTTCTGTACTGTTGCTCAAGTCCTATGGGAGCATTTGTTCTTGACAGATTTATGTTTAGATGGCACATTACAGATATGCAACTCCAGTGGCAATAAAAAAAAGTCAAGAAGAGAGATGAATTCCTGCTTCTCTCTACTTGCTTAAGGGAACACAGACAGGTTTTTTCAGCAACTATTTAGTTCCCTTGGGGGGAAGAGGTAGAAATTAGAGAAGTCTTCCTTATTCATTATGACCAGAAAACCTTGATTTTTAATAGTTCTCCCTCATCATGGACATACACTGATCTGGGCCAGCAGGTGGGAATCACGACATGTGAGGAAGTGCTAGGGGCTCTTAGCAGTTGCACCAGCTGTACAGACCAAGGGTACACCAGCCCATCTGTCAGGCCTGCAAGGATACAGACTTCTCTTAAGCTGGAAGGCTCTTCTCCAAATGGGAGAGGTGAGATTCAGCTGAGGTCTGGGAAAGAACGTGAGGAGGCACCAAGTGGCTGAGCACAAGGCAGGATAGGGTGTAAAGATGTCCCAGCTGTGGCTATGGACATAGATGGTGCCATTGCCCCAGTGCATAGACATCTAATCCCTGCCTGGAGACCTGCATTAACACTCCTGGGGGGAAAGGCTGAGGCATTTGCTGACACACTAATACACCACTGCCAAAGGCTCCTAAGGGAGGCCATCTGCCTGTGGGACAACCTGCTGGTACTTCAGAGGTAGCTTGAGCCTCAGTGCTGGATGCTGGATGCCTACAGTGGAACTGCAGACACACCTCTGAATCCAGCATGATCCAAAGAGAAGATATAGCCAATTAAAAGGCTGCATAATCTCTCTATCCCATCTACTGTTCTTCTCCACCTCAACACCTCCACAGCTCCAAACCTGTCCATCTTTCCCCTAAAGAATGCATTTCCCAGTTCTCCAAGGCAGGGTGCCCCATGTCCAGGGGACATTTCACCTGCTGTCCCTCTCACAGAAGCAAGCTTTGGAAGGCCCTGTATGACCAATGTGGCTTTGGCACTTGATTTCTTGCTGGTTTTCACTGCAGTTTTGGTAGGTCTGCACTGAGCAAAAAAAGGTGGTGCACCCTCACTGCCCATGACCAAACCTGTTTTTTGTGCTACACAGCATCTGGATTTTGGGACCTGTGCTAACACCTCCATGTGGGAGTGTGTTGGGCTATATGTGCACCCTGAACTGCTTAGGGAGAACTTAAGGGCATGGCTCTGCATGAAGCTTCACTGAACTCCCTAGTCATACACTTAAGTTTCTCAGTATTCAAGTCACTTTTGACTCCCTGGTCAGGCAAATATCTTTGAAAAATTCACCCTCTTTTCTCATTCTTGGACATTCATCTTGGAGCACAGGAAAGGGAAACATACCAGTAATGGTGTTTCAATACCAGGGAGCCCAGCCAGCTCCCAAGGAAAGCTCAGCCCAAGGGGTTACCATCAGACATGAGGACTGTTGACCTTCCCTGTCATGAAGCAGAGGAAGCTGGTGCTGGGAAGCAGAGTGAAGATGCCCTGTTGGCAAAGAGCACGAGCCTGAGGCAGCTGGGTGATGCAGACTCACAAAGACAGCCCTAGGGAAGCATGACTTTTGGAGAAACCTTTAAGAGATTGCACTGGTGTTTGAACAAGACATCCAAAACAGAAGGTGTCTTCCAAATCCTTTTTGAAGTTTATTCATCACCACTGGTAGAGCCATGAACTTATTCACAGTCTTCAAGGGTATCCAGTTTAGTTTGCAACGTACTGCCCACTTGTCTGGGATCTAAGATTTCATATATGTTGTGAGCACACCGAAGGGCCTCAAGGGTGCTGCTGAATGAAGCAAATGTCCTGCCCACCCCAAAAAGGGGGGCTTTTTCTGAAAGGAGCTAAAACTGTCTCAAGCACATATCCGCAAAAGGTCAGCCAAGGCTGGAACTTCAGCGTGACTGAAGCTGCATGCCATTAAGGAAAGACTGAAAATTATGTGAAAACTGGTGAAAGGAGATAAAAACCCAGAGAAAGAAATTGGTGAGAAGTGAAAAAGCAAACCAGAAAAGTGCCAAAGAAGCTTTGATGCCATGACAGCTACCATCTAGCCCATCTTCAGATCTCTGCAGTCAGCCTAGCGTGGGTGGGGAGAAGAGCTTTCTAGACACAAGGCAGTAGATAACTGTCTTCTCTGTGTCTAGGACAGCTCAGGCTTTTCATCTTTAGTTACTAGTGAATCAGCACTGGCAAAAGTGACAGAAAAGAAGCCCTCGTGAACATGAGCACCTTCTGTTACCTCCCAAGCTAGCATACAAGCTGTCAAAACACACATGCCCCTCTGGTGTCCCTGGGTCCCGATTCCTCATAAGCAAGGCTGCTGGCAGCAACAGTGACCAGGAGACCTTTGAAAGCATGCAGTGCTCATGGTTCCTTTTTTTTTTAGCTGTCTCATACTTCTAGGCTGGTGAAGATGATTTGTTATTTATTACTATGGCTCCAGATGTGATTTCTAGGAAAGAAATTTCCAGTGTGCATGGCACATGAGTCTTCCAGTCTGGACAGGAGAGCAATGGAAAGCACCCCTTCTGCATGCAGAATCTGTTGCCTGTGGTAAGGGCTTCCGGGCAACTCTTCTTCAGTGGCCAAGCATATGGCCTGAGGGACATAGCTGAAAGTTAAGGCTCACTAAAGTCGAGAGCCATGAGATGGTCTTTGATCATGGCATGCTTCTTCCTACACATTTGACCTAGTCAAGAGGTTTTGGCTGGCTATCCCAGCAAAACGGAGTCCCTCCTCCTTTTGA